GCTTCCGAGCTCAATACACAATCTTTTTCTAGCATGTACAGTTCTGTATGTAGTAGCCCGTTTCCGAGTTAATATCAATAAACGAGAATTTCCGATCCTTTACCGTATATAAATTTATTGTCGAACTCATGGATGAACACCTACGAAAATATATGTATGTTATAGTGTATGTTTTGTTGAATTTAAAATTAATTACTCAAGAAAAGATATATTTACAAACAAGTACAAAGAGGAAATTGTTTGAAGATGATTAAACACAGCTGAGGGAAACAGAAACAGGGGAGCTTATACATCGGCTGGGGAACTAACGATGAAGCAACTCCTTTATGTTAAAGGGATTCTATCTAAGCGAATATAGAGCTTAATCGATAGCGGATGTGCTTGTCTATCTGGCAAGATCGTTGTTTTGTAGAAACGCGAGTGCGCTTGTCTTTCGACATGTTATACTTATACACCGTATGTTTTTTTATACGCCAAATATATAATGATGTCGATCGTGGAGATGGTTGGAGTATCGGTCCAGTTCGGTGTTTAGTGTGTATTGGCAAAATTGTACTCTCTCTTTTCCATTATATAAGATGTTTAAAGAATTTTTCTTTGTTTCATTCTATAAGATGTTTAAATACTATAGCTTTTTACATGATTGGTTGAATTATATTTCTAACTAATTATTAAATGATGTTTTGTTTTATATTTTTGTTTTGGTCAAAAAATGATGTTTTGTTTATAAGTGTCTTTTTCTTAATTATCGCGCATTCAGCCAAAACATAATATAAAATGGGACGGAGGGAGTATGTTTTAATTTTGTTAATTTTTTTATCAAGTATCAGTTTTATTACATACTACTAACTCGTAAAGATGTATCTTACCTTTCGTCACTGAATGCGTAAGAGTTACGGGATTGGACATATACAGAGTACTTACTTTGGTTAAATTATGCTTTGTCTATTCTATGGACACAGAATCTCGATATTTGCGATCTTATTAACGATGGTTTAGAATATATTTTTTTTAGTATAACTCACACCATTGTGATTTTTTTTTATAATCCTAGACCATCGACTGTTTCTGCGTCAGTTTCTTTAAAACAATATAATTAAGTCACTCTAGAGTCAAAAACAAATTAAATACTAGTTACATAGTAATTTTTCTCAAAAAAGTTATAAAAATGTCAAGAGCAAACAACTTGGATTCGTGCAGTTGATGGAACCTTCTTGG